CAATGCTGTAATCACCTTCAGTGACCATTACACCAAAATGATCCACTGCTTTCCAACCACCACAGAAATCACAGCCGAGGGAGTGGCCGACTTCTACTATCGTGAAATTTTCCATCTTCATGGCCTCTCAAGAAGATTTATCTCTGATCAAGGTCCCCAATTTGCCGCTGACATCATGCGCCAACTCCTAAAACATTTAGGAATTGAATCTGCCCTCACAACAGCTTACCACCCAGAAACCAATGGACAAATGGAATGCGCCAATCAAGAAATTGAGTGCTATATCTGGATGTACATCAGCTGCTGACAAGATGACTGGGATCACCTCCTGCCCACTGCTGAATTTGTCATTAATTCCCAAATCCACTTTGCACATGACCATTCCCCATTTGAAGTCCTCTATGGTTATACACCGGAATTCACCATCCCCATTGGAGGCTGGAAATTGTACCCATCAATAGACCAACACTTAGAAACACTGCGACATGCTAGGGAAGATGCAGAGGCAGCACTACGGATGAGCAAACAGTGCATAGGGGACAGTGTGGATGGGACAATACAGGAGTTTCAAGTAGGACAGGCAGTATGGCTGTCAATCAACAACCTTAAAATATGACAAAAGAATGAGAAACTGGGAAGCCAGCGCCTCAGACCATTTGAAATTGTTGAGAAGACAGGATCACACACATACCGCCTTGCCCTACCCACTTGGATGAAGATCCATGACAACATCCACATCAACCGACTTGCACCATGGAAGGGAAACAAAATCAATGGGACAAAGCCACCACCACCAGAGCCTGAGATAGTGGAAGGAGAAGAGTTCTATGAAGTGGATTGGATTTTGGATAGTCAGTTGAGGGGCTGCTGGAAAAAGTTACAGTTTTTGGTTAGGTGGAAAGGGTACGACGAGAGCCATGACAGCTGGGAAAATGAAGACAGTGTGGTAGGATCTAGTGACAAGGCCATATCGGATTTCTACAAAGCACACCCAAATGCACCTCGGAAGATTTCAGCCACAGTCTTTCACTCACTTCCATGGCAACCATATGAAAACTTCACTGAAATTGTCGCTGGGACATCGACTGTAGGAGGGGGGTAATGTCATGACACTGGTACTTATATCATTTTCTCACCCCTATCTTTCACTTTCTTCACACTTTTGTTCACATGATTGCGTTTATGACACATCATCATTCCATTCTGATATTCCAATACTTCTTTGACATTTCACACTTCCATCTTTCTTCCACATGATTTCACTGCCCCTCTTTCTATTTGCTTTATCATCCTCTTGCTTCTTGCCAAGACAATTCCTAATCCCTTTCTCGCACTGTCACCCCTTTTATTGTTCTTTCCTGTACAACTGCATGTATCTTCACTTTCTTCTTCTCGCGCTGTCACTCTTATTGTTCTTTCCTTTCTATTCTCCAACTCATATAAATAGGCCTGTAGATAGTCCCTAGTTCCCCATCTCGACCTCTTGGTCTTTGGGGACTAGGTATGTGTTTGTATCTTTGCTCACATTCAATATTGACTTGGTCTTTGGGGACTAGCTTGATATCCTTTGATCATTGTGATTGGCCCTCTGAGCTATCACCGTCATTGAGATCCCCTTATTCTTTTATATTGTGCTTGAGCTTGCATCACCACCTGTGCTTGACGCTTGCCCTGTGCTAGTGTCTTTGTTTCATATCTGTGCCATTGCCTCATCTCTTGTCTCCGCAACAAGAAGACCTGTAGAGCATAAACAGGGACCTGATGGAATGAATCATAATATGAAGACTTACATCATTTCAGAGTAGAGAAAATGCTGCAGATGGTCAAAATAAGCTAGGGTCATCTCCTTCAGCTGAGAAAGAGATAGAGTAATTGAATGATAGCTAGAATAGACACATTTATGTACAGTCAGATGGAGGTAAAAGTTGTAATGCAAGACACTGGCCTGCAAGGTTGCCCACTGACAAATCATTGTCAAACTTATATCCCAATGAGTACTGCAAAATAGAGCATCCAATCTGCAGAGGGGGGCTCAGCTGCACAATTAAATGTAATGGAAAGCTCTTACCAGAGTTGCAGTCATTGTAATAAGTGGGAGAGGGATATGTTTCTCACACTTCAAGCTTTCAATCAATATTTCATCCTGCTTGGGACTGCCTTTGATAAAATACCCCTGTAAAAGTAAACTGAGCAATGGGCTTTTGAAGGAAACATTGCTGGCTGTCTGGGCTGAAACAAAACAAGTAAGATGAACAATAGCATGTTGCTCTGAATTCATACCTCCAGGTTGACTTCAGAATGATAGTATTGGTATCCTTTCAATGACCAGGTTGAAATGGAGCTCTACAATATATCAGAAAAAGAGATAAATGTCAACAATGTATGTGGTCACTCAACAGCTTGTTCAGGAGAATGTGTGCCAGGAATTCCAAAGTATTAGACAGTCCTAATGTGAGCCTCTTTTGCAAAATCAAGATGGACAGCTGCAAATCCATAGTTCATCTTTGAAACTGGTGAGGCAGAGTAACATAGTCTATAAAGGACAAGGTCATACAAAACAAATGAACTCATCTCTTGTCACCACATCCTGGGCAATCTCATTAAGATCTGCCAGGTATTCACCACCTCAACCTTCAGCTGACAAACATTTGATCTCCTCAGAAAAAGTAGGAAAAGCAAAATGTGCATTGTGAGGATACATGTTGATAATGCAGGTTGCCTTCTGGACACATTGCTTTGCTAGGAGCACCTAGAGCAGTTAATTTTGGAAGCAGCAGAGGATTAGAGATGAGGCCAAGGAATACTGTCTTTCTTGCTAGGCCCTATGTGAAATAATGAGCAGGTAGTGCGAGGAAAACCAGAAATGAGGACAAGTTTCAATGGAAGGGTCACTACAATGTTCTGAACCTTCTGTATTAAACATTATTAGTAGGTATGGAGGGGAAGACTAATAATATCCAACCTTTAGTATCAGGCTTCTGCAGAAGGTCTTGTTAACTATACCCTAAGTACACACAGTCCTCAGAATGACAAAGAGGTTCTCAATTACCTATACCCTAAGTATGTACACACACTCTCAGGTTATTTTCAAACATCTTCCAGGGAGCCTAGGAATTGGCCCAAAACCTGGTAAGCCTAAGCAACCTAAGCAACTTGTGGTGCCTGAATGTGCCTGAGGGTCCCCAGGATTTGGCCAATTCCCTGGGTGTCCTCAGACTTCCTGTATTTGCCTGGAAAAAGGTGTTTTTTTCTGATGAGGGGCCTCTGCAAGGGCACTCAGCAGAGCTTACATCACTTACATTCTCATCAGATGGCAAGATGAGTGTCTGGATTTGGAACTGAATCTGTTGCAGTATGGATATGGGATACAGAGACTAAGATGACTATAAGTAAAGGGAATGCAAGCTCTGTTCAATCAGTGGCATTTTCTCCAGATGGAAAAAGGGTTATATCTAGATCATCAATGCACTCAGAGCAGATATGGCTTACAGAAACTGGGTATCCTATAGGTAATACTTCCATATTGTTGATTTAATCAGTGCAAATGTGGCACACAGACTCTGAGTAGTGAGCACATTGAACTTGAAGTGGGTTATCCAAAATCACCTGCAAGTGCAGTTTTCTCAGTTGCTTCCCCTCCAGATGGAAAAAGAATTGTTTCTGGAAATTGCTCAACAGTGCAGATATCGGATGCAGACATTGAACATCCAATAGGGGATTTTCTAGAAGGGCATACAGACTTAATTGGCTATCATATAACCACTCAGTGAGAATATGGGATGCAGAAAGTCTTCTCTCCAGATGGAAAGAGGACATCTGGATCATTTAACTGCACAGTGAAAATATGGAATGCAGAGTGTCATGAATGGGATCTGTTGTGTTAAGTAATTTTGTTTTCTGCTGGATGCATGAAAAATTGGAAACTAAAGATACTCAAACCCAGTTGCTTCTGGCAAGTGTACGGGGCGGTCAGGGCATAAACTTTAAGCAAGAGTTTAAGTGATAAGTGTAAGGGTGTAGATTAAGAAGCTTTTTGATTCACAGATGGAAACTTGATAAGACGGCAATTCAAATTAAACCGGAAGACTGTAAAATAATGAGAGGGGAGGAAAACAACTTGTAAATAGTAAATACAGGGCCGTATTGCATCATTGATTTGCTCGAGGCGAGTGGTGTCAAAGATAGGGCGGCGGTTCCGGGTGTTGAGGTGAGTAATCGAGAATGTTGCATTGGATTGGCGGATGAACATATTCTTCTTCCAGAACCGCTGTCGAAGCCGAGGAGTATAGCTATTTCCCTCGCATGAATCGGTCCACATGTGAATGCTCCGACGCTCGATCTATGCAGTGCCTCAATCAACATAAGTACTTTGGACCAATACTGTTCCCTGTATAGTTAGTTAGTTAGTTATCACACAGCGTGGTCCTGTTGCGGAACTGCCGGATGCGATGGGGACCGTATTTAAGTACATGAATGGGATCTGTACAAATAATTAAATTTAATACTCCGAGGCCGTCCTCTCCCCAATCGCGACCGATCCTGCAGTTGCACGGCAGACGAGCTCAATACCTCCAGGGCAAAAGGGAGACCTGCCGTAAACGAGGAGGTCCATTAAAACCGGTGTCGATTAGCTCTCCTTTCCATTTATGACTGATTCTCCAGCCTACTCTCATGCTGACAATTGCTCTCCTGGAGATTCAACGTCAATCCCGGCATGCGATAAAGTTTGGCTGTTCCCCAGAGCTGACAGACCTTGTATATAAATTTCGCCGTATCTACTACCAGTCCCCAGTTGAATATAACGGTTTTGAGCCAGTATAAAGCTTCGTCGTTAGAGCAGGGGCTCGGAAAGGTAGATCCCAATGATTTCTCAACATGTACATGAAGTCTTCCCTAAGAACAAGCACGTCTTCATCCGCTAGGCATTGCAATATGGCATGCTGCGGGGTTTCCGTATCCTTACCTGGTCGAGTGTAAAAAAAACTGTGGAGAAGCGAAAGTGGACTAGTTCAGATTTGAACCGGAGACCTTTCGCAATAGAAAATTTGTATGTCAAAATGCAACGCGAGCGCGACAACCCCTACGCTACTAGCCTGTAATGTGTAATTTTGAGTTTGTGGTGGGAGGTAATATATTCCATATTTCCTCCGCGACACGCTGATAGGCGGAGTTTAAAACCGTGAGAAACAGTTTGGGCGTCTAAGCAAGAAACGCGTGACGCGCTCTCTGCTTGTCTCCCGCCCTTCTTCACGTCGCACGGATTCGCAATGCAGCAGCCAGGTCCCGGGTCGGCTTCAGCTGCTCGTCCACCGCCACCAGTGAACAATCCAGTTCCAGTAAAGATTTACAATGCTGTATATTCATCGGTACAGGTATTTCTAATTTATTTCTCGATTTATCTTGATATTTTTCTGATAATTCGACTTTGATGCTTCTTTTTCGCGTCTTGCTGGCTTTTATTCCCTAATTTACAGGTATACGAGTGTATGATACGAGGAATTGCCGTCATGCGTCGACGCGCAGACTCGTTTGTCAACGCGACACAGATTCTCAAGGTAGCTGGCGTCGACAAGGGGAGAAGAACCAAGATCCTGGAGAAGGAAATTTTACCTGGTAAGCACGAGATTGTACAAGGTGGATATGGAAAATATCAGGGGACCTGGCAAGTGGCTGGAATTTCATGTCGGAATCACTGTTAACAACCTTCTTCTGCCACTAGGATTCCTCTGGAACGAGGACGTGATATTGCTAATCAATATGGCGTCTTACCTCTGCTGGCTCCGCTTTTTGACTTTACGCCGAGCACAAACTCTCTTCAGGCCTTGCCCATGTCTACGCCAAGCATTCCCGGAGTTTCTCCTCGGCCTATATCAGCGGCCTCCTCTTATGGAAATTATTTGCCTGGAGTTCTCGCGCCTCCACCAATTATGCCCGGTTCGGCTCTTCGTCTACTGAACCAAGGAAGGGCTCAGGGTTTATTCACGCCTTCAACTTCTGCTGCTCATATCTCTGCCGGCACAAATCGATTCTCTCAAAGTTCCCCTGTTCCAGGTCAATCTCAGTCGCCATTTTCGCCAGCTTCGGCGGCCCCTACGCCTCCTCCAGTACTCACTGCTTCCAATTTGCTCAAGCGACCGCGGTCCAACCCCCTTGACATAACTCTGACCTCCCCTGCCAGTGTTCCCGCGTCCGTCGGCGACGTGCGGATGGCTGATCCTGGCGACGAAGGTCCTTCGCCAGCCAAGCGTGCACGCAAGGAATCCACTCCACCACAACCACCGATTATCACAGCACCCTCAGGCACTCGACCCCCCAGTACGGCAAGTACCGCCCACCCCGATCCAGAGCATATGGTCCGACTCGCGTCTAAACCTGCCTTTCCACGAAACATCGACCCGTCTGCACCTCTCAAAGACACACGACGCGCTGCTGTAATTGCGTCCATATATCAATCCGATGACCCTGCCGTGGTTCTCAACTACCTACGCGAAATCGCTACGTTTCCTGCGAACAGTAACGGCGTCCGCAATACCGTTCATTCCGTTAACGCCGCCAACAATAATCGCGCCATCGACGTCGATACCATCCTCGACGAACATGGCCACAACGCTCTCCACCTCGCCGCATCGCTATCGCGCGTCTCAACCGTTCAAGCTCTCATATCCCATGGCGCAGACATTTTCCGGGGTAACCATCTCGGCGAAACCCCACTCATGCGCACCATCCTCTCCACACACTCGTACAACGCCCAGTCCCTCCCCACCCTCCTCCAATCCGGCCTCTCACAATCCATCCTCACCCTCGACACCTCCCGCAAGTCAGTCCTGCACCACATCGTGTCTCTCGCGGGGGTCAAGGGCCGTGCCGTCGTCGCGCGGTATTACCTCGATCAGGTGTTTTACTGGATCGCGACGAAGATGGGAGGGGATTTTGGGTGCATTGTGGATTTGCAGGATGAGCATGGGGATACGGCGTTGAATATTGCTGCGAGGGTGGGGAGTCGGACGTTGGTGAGGACGTTAATTGATGTGGGGGCGAATAAGACGTTGATGAATAAGTTGGGGTTGAGGCCTGGGGATTTTGGTGTCGAAGCGGAGGTGAGTGTTTTGCGTGTGCAAGCTAAACTTGGGATCTGACTGGTGTGCGGTCTTGAATTATTATTTAGGAATTGGCTGTTGGGCACAAAGCTGAAGATATTGTGCAAATGTATCGCTCGACTACTGCTGTGCCGATACAAAAATCACAAGATGTTATAGCTGGTTCGTATGAATTTTTATTACTATTATTATTATCTTTCTGCGGTGTATTAAATTCCTGTTTTTTTTTTCCTTTTTCCGCAGATATGACATCCCTGATCCAATCCCTCGCCTCTGACTTTCAATCCGAGATCAAAGTCAAGCAAGACTCTCTCGACGTCACCCAGGCGCACCTCCGAGCGGCCACCCGCGAGCTTGCCGAGCAAAGGAAACAGATTCAGCTGTGGCAAGGGAGGTGTAGGGAGGCGGAGGTGCTGGAGGGGAGGAAGAGGAATTTGGAGAAGGCGATCAGGAGTCTTGATTGGGGAGGTGGGAGGGGTAAAGTCGAGGGAGGTGTGGAGGACGGGGATGTGGAGTTGGAGAAGGGGTTGGGTAACTTTGATTGGACGGGGAGGTTGGGTCCGAATGATAATGTGAAGATTGGGGTGAGTCCGAAGAAACTCACTGCTGGTGCCGGTGCCGGTGCTGGGGGTGCAACTTTTGCGAAAGAGAAGGGTGAGGGGAGGGTGAGGATGGCGGATGATATGCAGGATGAGATGGATGTGGATGCTGATGCGTCGGCGGATGATGATGATGAGGCTGAGGGGCAAGGGCCTATGCCGAAGGGGAAAGCGCAAGATGTGGGTTTGGGTGAGGGAGGAGGGAGGTTGGATGGGTCTGTGATGCCTATGGATACGAGTACGGGTACTGGAATGGCGACGGGAACCGTGACTACTGGTGCATCAGTTGTTAACGGGGCTTTGCCAGTGTCGACGGTGACGGCTGCGGAGGGGGTTCCGGTACCCGCTCCTTCCTCAGCTACCCCCGCCGGAGGAGCGGGAGCTTCTTCTTCTCTTGACTCTTCGCCATCTTCATCTGGACCGGCAGCACCGTCGCTTGTATCCCCGGCTTTCCGGTACCGAGGCCCAGCCTCGTCTCTTATCGGTGCTCCCCACCCAAACGCTTCTTTACCTTTCACTACCTCCATACCCACATCCTCATCAATACCCATGCCCGCATTAAGGCAACCCACATCGACTTCCCTATCACCCCCAACGTCGTCCTCGCAAGTCTCCCAAGCCCAAGCCCAAGCCTCCCTCAACCTCAACCACTCCAATCCCAACGTCGATGTCGATGTCGATGTCGGTATCGGTATCGACCCCGACCCCCCTCTCCCCACCTCCAACGACGTACAGACGTTGATCAGATTGCGGAGGATGAAGATGTGGACGTTGAGGTTGGAAGAATTGCTTTTGGGGAAATTGGAGGGGATGAGGGGGGCGAGTGCGGAGAAGGAGTATATGTGTAGGAGGATTGTGAGTCTTTGTACGGGGGTGGAGGTTGGGTCGGTTGACGGGGTGAGCGATGAATCTGATTGGCTGGCTGACCGATTGACTGATTGACTGACTGATTTGTCGTTGTGTAGATGTTGGATAATCTTGTTATTGCGATGGAGAGTGAAGCGAATATCGTGGATATTGGGAGGGTGAGTGGGTTCATGCAGAAGGTATGTTTCTTTTTGCCCTTCGTCCTTCGCCTCCCTCTTCCACACGCACCTTCTCGTTTGCGTGGGCCGCGTAACTGATGAGTCCTTTGTCTACCTTTTAGGTTCGCGATGGGATTATTTGAAATTCGCGTCGTGACCCATACCTGCTGTTGGTTGGAAGGCTCATGGAGTCTCTTCCTTGTTGCTTGTGTCGATGGATGTTGAGGCGTGTTATGCCACGGTTGGGTGATGAGGTGGAGGAGAATTTTGGAATGAGTTCAATTGCTCGAGTTCAAGCTCGAAGTTGCGATAATTGATTGTGTATTATTCTATTTATTTTTTCCTAGGACCTCTTGCTGTGCTGAATACAAAAGTCTTTGCATCTTTTCGAAGTATCTTGCTACTCTATACCTACACAATCCAAGTACGTCGAATATCTCAGGAAGTGTTGAGTAAGGAGCGGATCCAGGAAGACTGAAAGTGTCTGAATACATAAATAGTGAGCCAGGATATCACACCCTCATGCTTCAGGCAAGCTGAAAACCACTGATAAACCATAAAAGGATAATCTAATTTATTTCAGAGCACATTTCTGCTGAGCAGAATTTTTTTACATTCTCGTGTGTCATAATGCTCATGCAATTTCTTACTGACACATATTCTTTAGTACAGACAGCTTAAATAGTAATCAGAGAAGTAAAAATGCATCATATTCACTTGTAATATCCGCCAGTTTGCTGATTGTTAGTCCAAGCAGGTTGAGCCAGGGCCTGAGCCTGAGCCGGGCCCCAGCCGTCACATCACTAGTAAACAATGAGTACTTTGAAGGTTGGGGAGGAGAGGGTCAGTATTTCCCCTACCGCGACACTTGGATTTGGATTTGATCCTTTTGGGTATCCGGATGCTTTATCCCTCTACACCGACTCCGACCATATCCAGGTCAGGTCCTAGGCAGTCCAACCTTGTAATTCTGAATTGTCACCTACGCCGGCGAGTACATACTGCTTAGTTGTTGGTGCTTGCCCTCGGTAACAGCCTCGAGGCATCCCCTTTGCGTGTCCATTTGTCGCGGAGGAACTTGATACGGAAGGAGTAGGGAGAGGAGGGTCGAGGAGGGTTAGGGTTTCAGTATTTCCCTACTGCAACACTTGGATTTGGTCCTTTTGGGTAATCCAGACGGTTATCCTCTACACCGGCTCCAACCGTATCCAGGTCCGAGGCAGTCCAACCTCGTCATTCCGAATCATCGCCTACGCCGGCTCTGCAGGAAGATGTGGAAGGGGTACTACTTATGTACTGCTTAGCTGTCGGTGCTCGCCCTCGGCAGCAGACACAGGTATATTCGGGTGCATCGAGCGTATCGAGCGAACTCTC